TAGCCACCTGCCTAATTTGTTTGTTTTTTTTTCTATAATGTGTAGCAGAAATCTTCAGTCAACAAACAGATCAGTAAATAAATTCTTTATTTAAAGTAAAATAGAAGCGGGTAGGCTTGTTAACAATCACACAAGTGTCAGCTTCTTGGATCGCAAATGGGTTTGGCTGCCTTGGAGCTCATCTCTGCAAACGTAGGTTAAACCCGTGATTTGGGACGCAGCAAACAGACCCGGATCCACTAATGCATTTGGTACACAGTGCCAGCAGGAGCAAGGAACCAATTAGACTTTGCTGGTGAAATGAATTTAAAAGTCAGAGCTCTGCATGCACCTGGAAGGGCTGGGGAGTTGTGACTACGACATCCTGCAGTTTAAGCTGTACTGTCTCTCCTATAGAGTCTGCAGAGAGATCGGAGAAAGGTCTAGTGCTGGGAGCAGAGATGCACTGGGAAGGAAGCATAGGAGTTTTCCTGGCTTGGCACTGGCCTCCTTTGGTCCCACACTCTGGCCTGATTCTCAGCTGGAATTAAAACAGCAGCAAAAGCTGCATTCCTCATAGCAAGTGATAAATCTCTGTGTTGGTGATGGGAACTTTCCACTTAAAATGCTTTGTAAACTGCACAGGAGGTTTAAAACTAATCAGGTTTCCCCTCTGCCCCATCCTCTCCCCGTATCTCCACAGAAATCTTTGTGGGTTTCCAGTTGCATCTTATTTACCGAACACTGTAATGGCATAATGAGGGTTCTTATTGCTACTTTAATTTAACCGTAGTATTTTCAGCAACGTTCAAATGCTTACATTAGAGATGTTGCTTATCAGGGCAAACTCGAACTACTTAATAGCCTGGGCTAGTTGATAATAGTGCTTAGATAAATACAGGTCTGTGATTATCTCTCAGCGCTTTAATATCTTTGGAGGGGAAGGTGCATCACAAAACATGAAAATTAAGAAGTCCAGAGTAAAAGCAGTCTTTGAATCACAGCTAATAACTGGGAATATACTGAGGAGGCAGAGTGTCCGTGATTGCAGTTCTAACTTCTGTAGAGACAGCCACAAATAAGACCAGATTACATCTTTGCTTCCCATTCTGGAATTTACCTCCTTTCCCATTTGTTCTCTGTTGGCTGATGAGTTCTTTGTGCACTCCAGAGAACACAGGCACATGCTGTCTTCCCAATCTCTGGCATCCTGCGTCAGCAGCTTCCCCAAGCGACCTGGAATAATATATTTAACAGATCCCCCATCTTCTCTGATGAACACGAACCTGTACGTGGGACACTGTGGTGTCCAGCTTGCTTGCCTGGCTCCATCCCAGGTGGATTTGGGGTTGGTGAGGAATACCATCAGCGGGTTCCTCATGGGAAACTGGCTCCATCACATTTCTGAGGTGAGATGGGGGAGGTTGTAAGATTGGAAATGGTCTTCCTGAGCAGATGCGTCGAAGTAGTGCAGAAGGTGGTTAAATGCTGTAGACATTCCCCATGCCAGTCCTTGGTGCTGGTTCTTCAGCTGGTGACTCGCCTTTCTCCTTAAGTCCTTATCTGTGCTCTTACAGAGTCTCGAATCGCCAAAGTGTTTTGGGCCTTGCTGATGGTGGCCAGCTCTTCTTGGTCCTTTCGTCTTGGTTCATTCTTCTTATTTTGTGTTTTGACATCTAGTGTCAGGGAGTCTTGTAGAGCTGTGTGACTGTCCTCCAGCTTGATACAGGGCACGGATGGAAACCAAGCCTGAAAAGGGCCAACCTCTGGTCAGCATGACTGCAAGCAGAGCTCTTGCAAGTCTGCAGAGAACTGGGAGAGCGCAATAGAAGCAGTCAAGAGGCAATTTTCAGACAAGAAGATGTAATTAGACAAAAAAAAATTGGGAATATTCAACTGTGGTGCTTTTGGTGAGGTCTGGAGGTGCTGTGTTTGCCTCCAACATGGAAGTGAAATGTCTAATGCTCTCTTGGCATTATTTTGATCCATGGAAAATTCCAATTATAGAGGAATTTACAATTCCTACTGCAACCTGTTTTGCTCCGGGCTGCAGTAGTTCTACCTGGGCAGTTTATCAAGTGCTGTTATCACCCTGCCATGATGTTACTGAGTCCCCGTGTCACCGAGCAGCTAGTTTTCCATTTTTTGCAGATTTTGAGCTTTTCCTTTGCTCTTTCCAAAAAAAGACATTGGCTTTGAAACAGAGAGCTCAGGTGTCCACTTCCTTCTAACAGATACCGTGTTGTTTTGCCCCAGTAACCGCAACTTCCTGCCAATATTTTCAGAGGATCCAACATTGTTGCCCAGTGTTATCGAGAACCATAACATCATCATTGGCCACTGCAAGAAGAGAATTTCAGAGCTTTCACATGAGTTACTTTCCTCCATGTTTATGGGTGATCTTCATCATTGCGTTTCACTTTTGGACCTTGGCAGAATAAAGGAGCTGGCTGGTAATAGGACCTGTCTTCTGAAAATGAAGGCGAAGGTGCAGAGCAGACGAGCAGGAAAAGCCAGGGGCGATCGATGGCAGCAACCTGATGCCCCGCGCTGAGCAGTACAGGGCGTTCTGCGGACGGGAGATGCTGTAGGACGCTCTGCCCTGCAGATGCTCCGTTAGCAAAAATACCATGTGAGAGTCAGCAAAACGGCAGATCCAAACCAAGGAGGAGCAAGATTAGAAGAAACAACATAGCAGGAGCCATCAGCAGGACAAGCAGGAGAACGCCCCATTCTTTAGGTCGTTTATGTTTGGGCTGGATCAAAGTAGGAAGGTCTACCCTGCAGATAGGACCAAGGCTTGGTCCCTTTGCAGGAGATGCCCTTCAATCCTATGAAGGTGTCCTGAGATGTCCCAGCCATACTGGGTGCTTCTTAATTCAGGTGTTTTTAAAACACTGTCCAGTTCTCATTCCAGCTCTAGAGTGTCGACAGCTCGAGTGCAGTCACTGATGGAGAGCTCAGCAGCTCGGCGTTGGATCGTGTTTGCTTATGTGTTGCTCTTCGTGTCCTGCCTCTCTTGATGTTTGCGGCATGGATCTGTAGTGATGTTTGTGTTGCAGCAGCGCTGAGATGCTTCAGCTGAGCTCTGAGACCTGCGGCACCACTGATGCTCTCAACCTCCCCCCACATCCTAGACAGCATTAGAATGAGACCATCAAAATGGGTGGGAAGAAAGGACATAGCTTGTACTGCTTCGCTTGGCCCACTCCGCTTGGTCCTACTCACTGTCTCCTTTATTGTGACAGATTTTTTGCTCCTGAAATTACTATGGGACAAGTTGTTCCTGGTCTCTTTTGGAGAGTCAGTCGCTGTCAACCTCCATCTGCAGGAATCCGTTGCTTCTCTACAAGCTCTCATGGACTCTGCTTTGGGGCAGAAACCCGTTTTGGAGATAAACTCTTAGCAGGGGCTCTCAAAATGTCACATGGGACCTGCAGGGGTTGACATTAGCCTCCAGCGTCCTTTTTCGAGGCCACTAAGGTGATGGTCGCAGCCCGAGCAAGAGGCTGCTTCACTTTTCACTGTCCAGGCTGCTGCTGGGGTAATGCAGATGGGTGATGTTGGGTCAGAGGGGCAGATAGTAGGGTGCTCTAACAAAGCCACATCATCTTCCAGATTTTAACCACGGGGGAGCTGGAGTTTTTAAGGCTGCTTCCATCTGCAAGCTGAGGAGCTGAGCAGCAGGCGCAGGAAAGCCTTGAGCTTCCTGAGAAGTTCTGCTGGTGGAGATGGGTTGGGTGGAGAAGACCACTGTGGGAGTCTGCATGGCAAAGTCGACCTTGGTTGCCTTTTCTTTGCCTGTGACTACTCCTGAAGACCTAACCCCAAAGTGTGGATGGGTGGAAACGTCGCAATTCGAGCCACCCTTGGTCACAGCAGCCCCTTCTGGTGTTGCTCCCATTGCCCGGCGGCAGGAATGTGTCTTCTCCCTGCCGTCCTCAGTGGCATCTCCTGGCCACTTGCCACATGCCCACCGCGGGCTCCCCACGGAAGGTCAGCCGGCAGCTCCGAGCGTCCCAGTAACCCGACTCGGCCTTCCCACCGCCTCTCCTCGTGCCAAGGACGCTCATGGAAGACGGTTGTGCCGGGAGGACCCGAGCTGGCACCGTGCAGCCGCCCGGCCGGCTGTTGCCTGCCTGCTGCCAAGGGAGGTTGCACGATGCCAATGCCCACATCCCTGCGCCACCCCTGCTCCGCTCGCTGCCGAATTGCTGCTCATGTGGGAATGGCAACACCATTCCTTGGGGATGGCAGCACCTTCAGTCTTGGCAGGGAAGGTGCACACGGATCTGGGACGAGCTGATCTCACAGGATGATCCCGCTCCCGAAGTAGCTGGCAGCACCCGCTGCAGGTGCAGCGATGCCAGTGGGTTCCCTCTCCCAGATGGGGGCTTTTTCATCTGGCCTCTACCCCAGACCCAGATGCCGCTTCTCTTTTTATGGTGCAACCTGCAGCAAGAGAGAAGCAGTGGCGGGGATAAAATTAGCCATGCCGACAGGTGGAAGGGATCGGATGGCCTCGGGAAGGAGGGTGCTCCCCGCGTGTCCGTGCACTCATTCCCTGGCCCTGCCGCGCACGCTGGGCACCTTCTCAGGAACCTGATCCCCACGGCCGCGAGCTGGTCCCCCCCCTTCCTCTTGTCTCCATCCCGCCCATAAATAACTGCCGTGAGGGCTTTCCCACCCTCGGTGCCGGAGCGCAGAGCCCGGCCATCCCTGCTCTCCCTGCTTTTCCCTGTTTTTCCTCAAGGCCTGAGAACACTTGATGCAGGGAGAGGTCGGAAACGCAGCCTGGACATCGTTGTCCCATGACCATCCTGACAGCATCTTCTCCAACCTGGTTAACCTCCTCCAGACATCCCAGCACTGCCACCTTTGGGCAGATTGTTGCTGTTAAGATATTTATATAAAGATACTTGGTGCGATGGGGAGGAAGATGGCAGGACAAGGAAGTGCCATCAGCTCCTCATGCCCTTTGTGGCCGCCTTTTCCCACCTTGCTCTCTTCTTCCCTTGCAGTGCAAGAAGAAGCACACGCTGGTTTGCCCGGATTTTGCCAAGAAGGGCATCTGCCCCAAGGGTGCCCAGTGCAAGCTGCGGCACCCAGAGCAGAAGCGGCGCCCACGGCTGCCGGGCGCTGCCGGTGATGCCGACCGCGGCCACCCGCCATCCAAGTGGCGGCGGCTCGGTGGAGAAACAGGCAGGTAGGAAACACGGATTGCGCTTCTCTGGGCACCTCTGAGGTTTTATCTCTGCCTTTGCCCTCTCCCGCATTGCTCTGGCCTCGCATCTCAGCACCCTGTGAGTTGGTTATGCCCTTGGGTGACCCGAAGCCCCTTGGCACAGGGTGGTGGCAGCGAGGGGGAGCTCGTTGGCAGAGTTTCATCACCACCAGCATTCTGGTGTGCACCAGATTTCTTGTAGAGGAGGCGAGGTGGGGACAGATGTGGAAATAGAGCTGCTGGTGTTGGACATCTCTGCCTCGAATCTCTCTTCTGGCCAGGCTGTGAGGCAAGAGTGAATAGATGAAACAGGAACTATCCCAAACGCAGTATTTCCCTTTGTTTGGCCCTGATCCAACTGCTGGTTTTGGATTGAAGTTTCTTCTCACAGAGTCACAGAATAGTTGAGGTTGGAACTGATCTATGAGGTCATTTAGTCCAACCCACCTGCTCATGCAGTCGCCCACAGCACGTTGTCCAGGTTCATGTCTAGATAGATTTTGACCATCTCCAAGGATGGAGACTCCACCAGCAGTCTGCACAACCTGTTCCAGTGCTGTCATGTTCACAGCAAGGAGGATGGTTCCCATAGGAAGCATTTTCCTCAGCCAGGCACTAGCTGGAGCATCTCTTGGCCAAAAATATAATTCTTGGGTGCTGAGGACGAAGCCCTCCAGGGTGATTGAGACATCAGCCTTCCTCATCCTCACAGAGAGCTGAGACTTTAAGAAGCATCTGGCAGCTTTGAAATGGCTTTTTGTGGGGAAACATGGGACAAAGAGGATGAATCCTGTCCAGTTCCTTGGAAATCCGAGATATGGGACAGCCTGGAATGGAGTTCCTCATGCAACTCCATCCATTCACCCTGGCCTCTTTCAATACCTGTGCTCAGCTTCACCAAAAGGGTTAATTTGTGATTTTTTGTTATTATTTTTTGCGTGCGTCCCCTCCAGGAACACTGCCACGCAGTTCCCTGAGGACAGGGCAAGGCCGGGACCCTCCGGCGAGGAGCTTGAGGCGACGCTTCGGCGGGACATGGACCCGGTGCGGAGCAGTGGGCTCCCCAAGCTGCCCTCCTTCATCTCGCTGCAGTCGCCCTCCTCCCCCGGGGACGGAGTGCGCAGAGCCGAAGCTGGCGATGACGACGAGCCCATCGAGGAGCCAGGTAGGACACGGTCACTCCAGTTTCCTTCCCAAGCCTACCAGGCTGTTCCACTTCACCACCAGTCACCAAACCACCTGTTACACGTGTTTTCTGAAGTGAAAAAGCCCATATTAGTCCTAGCTGATCATCTTCGTTGCTTTGTTGACAGACAGGGCAAGATGCTTTGGAAATTGGTGCAATTTTTTGCAAGGTGCAGCTTTAGGATAAGCTGGACTTTTGCGTGGCATCTGGCAGGATTGAGCAAGTGGCTTCTGCCCGTGTGCTTCTTTAATTTTAAGAAGAGTTTTTAAGCAAATTGGTCAATTGAAGTGTTTGTAAAAAAAAAAAGAGGGGAAGGAAAGCATTGAAGCAATTGCAAAGAAATAATTTTTCTCAAGATTTCATTGCAGTGTGTTTTCCACCACCCTGATGGACATGAGCTGTAGTTCTCTTATACCTAAGGAGAGGAAAAAGGTCCTGTCCTAGGAGAGCCATTGGCTCCATTGGCGCGGGAGTCAGTGGAGAGGCTTTCCCTTGCAGCGCACCTTGCAACCCAAGGGGCTCCTCATGGCTGGAAGGACCAGGAGATCCAACCGGCTCCTGAGAGACCAGTTTGCAAATAGGAACTAGACCACCTATGCGAGGGGTCTGTATTGAATGTGTGTATATACATATATATATATATATATATGCGCATATATGTTTTCCACTGATAAGCCAGAAAGAGGATAGCATGTAAAGCTAGAGCTGAACACTTAGAGATTGTTGGATCGTGGTGCAGAATGCAGCCAAGTGTCCATGTCCACGTCCTCCTCTCCTGCTTGCAGCAAGCTTGGTGCCCCTTCTCCCCACAGCCTTTTGGGACTGGAGTCTTTGCTCCAGCATCAAAACGTTGGTCCCTGCTGAGTGTTGCCTCCATCTTACACATCCTGCCTCCAAGTGGGCTAATCCCAATAAACCTGCACTCTAGTCCCCAGCATCTGACCATTACAAGGGGCTTCCCAGCAGCTCTGTGCCACCAAGAGAGATTGGAAACCCTTGGCCCTCATTTCACGAGTGCTGCGGGAGGGCAGAGCCAGAGGGAGCACCCATCTCCCCTGCCCTCCAGTGAGCACTTCCAGGTAATGTGGTTTTCCATATTTCACCTTCCAGTTAAATAGCCTGCGCCAGCGCCTAACTGGCCTCCCTGCGCTAATTGTAAGCAAGCGCACCAATGCAAACCATTCCAATCGAGTGCTAATTTAATTAGAAAGCACCCATTTTAGTTAATTTGTTCGAGAAGATCACTGAAAACTCCTGGAGAGAACAGATGTTCCCCTCTCCCCCGATGAACATTCAGGGGTTTGTAAATGGCTCCACTCAGCCTTGTTTAGGAGAGAAAAGAGGATTTTATAGCTGCAAACGACCCTTTCTGTAAACATTTTACAGCTCTCTGCACGTTTGAGTGACGATAAACCCCTAGCAACTCGGCGGGCTGCAAATTTGCGACCATACGGCTATCATTTTATTGTCATATTTCACGGTCGTAACGTTAATGGAAGATGCTCGCTACAGTCTTTTTTAACAGCTCCGCTGAGCACGCTCAAGCGCTTTTGCTTTGGAGGAATTCATCGAGGTGCAGTGCTTCTATTTTTGTTTACAGCGCCCAGTTCTGGAGGAATAACTTGGAGAGCACAAATCCCCCTTGCCTGCCCGAACCCGGGGCTGATGCACCCGTGCTCTCGCTCTCAAGGGTTAAGTCGTTCCCATGTCGCGTTAGACAGTGCAGAGCCCGATGGATGATGCAGGAGATGCAGCTGCTCCGCAGCACCATCCTAGACATGCTGGACATGCATCCTCTCTTGGTCTCTCACCCAACATCTCCAGCTGCAGCATCAGAGCATGTTTGGAGCAGTAGCATCTCCTTGGGAAGCCTCTGCTATCGCTCTAGGTCGATGCTTTCCCTGCGTTTTCTCCTTCTTTCTTCCTCAGCTGCCAGAATTGGAGAGCAGATGTCATTTATTTAACACAAAGCCAATACTCCAAGCCCCACATGTGTCTGCAGCTGGTCCCCTTGCGGAAACTCCTAGCTGGCTGCAGTGCAGAAGGTCCCACGGGGCCTCCACTGCCTCTAGTATCCCATTTAACACTTCTCCTTCCACTGGCTCTTCTTTCCAAAGCCATCTCAGTTACCGGGGGTGCAAGTAAAAATTAACCCTCTTGGTTGGTGTAAGCCATTGGCAGAAGAAGCCTTGAAAATGCAGATTGCATCTGCACAGGTAGATGGTTAAGGGTCAGACCTCATCGGGTTGTCCTGGAATCATGGTGGCTGGCATCTAATGGACTATGGAAAGGACTGCATGTCGGTCCTTAGCTAATGGCAAAATAGGAGCTACATTAACGTTTTCGCTGCGTTGCAATCTGAGAGTGCTTGTGTGGACAGTCGCTGCAGCTTGGCTCATGGATGGTCACCTTGTTGAGCAGGGGGAACACAGTAACGTGTTGGAGCATCAACGCTGCTGTGACCGAGTTGGTAGTTTTTCTCCTGACAGTAGGGCCTGGGAGGAAACATTATCTGAGGGGTAAACCATGGGCATGTGTTTTATGTCTCTCTTGTGCTAGGCAGCCCAAGACTGGGCACTGAAGTTCAGGTTGCGTAGAGGGAAAAATATTTGTGCAGTTTCAACAAATTAGCTCAATCCCAAAAAGCATTTCTGAGGAGGCATCTGGTGCAGGCCTTACCACTCATCTCTAGGACTTCTTCATGACAAAACAGAAGTCTCTTATTTATCCATGGGAACAACTCTTCATATAATGTCTTATATTGATTCATCAGTTCTTGTGCACCTCCATGGGTAAGGGCATTTTCAACTGCTCTTTAAGTGACTGAAGGCAGCAGTGAGCTTAAGGTAGGGGAAGACAAGCAGTTGATGACAGCAGTCCTCCATTAGTCCCCTTCTCTTCTTCGATCAAGAAAATAGGTTTATCTCCTCTCTCCTAGCTACACACTAGAGGTAGCTGAGACACTTTGGACTTGACACTTTGGACTTAAGAATCTGGGTCATGGTTGATGGGAAGCAGAGGTCTTGGTCCTTGTTGTGGGAAGCTGCTAGCTCTTTTTGGAAAAGATATTGGCCAAGATGAGGTCATGAGGTAGTGACTGCTCCTGTGACTGGTCCACCTTCATCATGTCTGTTCTGGAAGTGTCCACCTCTGTCTCCTGTTCTTTGGGTGGGCTGGCCTGCAGGGGCTCTGGGTCTCCTACAACCTGGCCGAGGGACACTCCTTTGGCCCATGTAGTCTTCCTGCTCCTCCTGTATACATCCTGCTCCTCCTCTATATGTCCTTACTCCGCACTTCTTCCATCTAGCTCATCGTTGCCAGCACCTCCTTTCTAAGCAGCATTGGGTGCTTACTCCTGCAGCATGGGTGATCTCTCCCACTGCTGGTGTGGGTGTTATGGCCAATGTTGTCATGATCTGTTGGAGAGCTGGTTGCTGGAGTGGACCTGACTTCCTGAAAGTCTGACCCAGATGTTGGAGAAGCTTGGAGAAGGCCTTGCAACTTCTGAGGAACCGGTTTGAAGATCCTTGGTGTGTCACCCAAAGAGTGACAATAACTTGCTCTTTCCTATATTCCTACCTGCTCCATGTCCCCTAGTCACTCAGAGGGACAAGAAACTTGGTGAATTGTGAGGCCAGTCCAGGGAGGGTGTCTAATAAGGGCAGTGAGGTGGCTTGTGACACTGTGGATCCACTGCAACGTGCCCAGCTTGATCACCGACTTAACTGGGATGAGTAATGAGTAATGAGTTCTGAGAACTCCTAGTTCTCAGAAGTTTCCTCAGCCTCTTCTAACTTAACTGGGATGAGTAATGGGGGTGATGGGCCAAGAGCTGCTTTCCTTGGATTGTCTCCACTTTTGTTTTCTGGAGAGAAGGGCTACTCCTGGTTCTCAGAAGTTTCCTCAGCCTCTTCTCACAGTGTAGTGTAGCACATCAACATACAGGTCTTCGGTCACAGTGATTTTGGCTATGGGAGATGACAGCAGCAGCTGAAGGACTTATGCAGAAGTAGGGTTTTTAGAGGGGTGGTAGCATTTGACTTGTGTGTGCCTCGGTTTACCCATTTCTCATACTCTCCCAATCCGCAGGAGCTTCGGAGTGTGGCTGCTGGTGTGCCTGTGGCATGGGGAGCAGTGGGACGAGAAGCGGGATTCAGGAGATGGCCTTTGGCCATGACAGTAGCTGCTACATGACTAATCTCTGTGTTCAGGGGCAATAGCAGCTCTCGTTTGGGCTGTTCAACAGCAACTCTAGGACTGTGTCTGCTTAAACCTCCTGGTGACCCTGTGCCACATGCTCCAGGTGTCCCTGCTTGAGCAGAGGGGTTGGACTAGATGCTCTCTAGAGGTCCCTTCCCACCTTGACCATTCCATGATTGTGCGTGTGAAAAGAGGCACCAGGAGGAGATGGGCACCATGGGGACAACGGGGGACAGCAGCAGGCACGGGTGCTGCCACTGTGCCTGCTGCCAGGGTGCCGCGCTCCGCGCTTGCCCGCACCGACGCTGTTGCATCCCTCGTGCCATCTGCTCACCGCCGCTGCGGAAGTGCTGCAGTGAAGCAGGCTGCTGCCCCGTGGGCCCCGCCATGGGGATCTGCTCGAGCAGATGCTGCTAACGCTCATAAAAGGAGAAAGGAAGGAATAAACCACGATGGGATTTTTGTCATCGACTTTGACGTGACACGGATCTAATCTGTCGCCAGGGACTGGGCCTCTTCATTGCTGCAGGTACCTCTTGATCACACGGTGCCCAAAGAGCTTCCACTTTGTTTCCAGCGTTGCTGGAGCTAGTGAAGCTCTTACTGCTCCTTGGCCCTGGGGAGATGTTGCCGTAAGCGGTGGCAGATGCAACCTCCCCCAGTTAGCCCATGTGGGCTGCTCCTCCATCTCTGCCACCTGCAGAGGCAGAAGGTTTTCTCCGCGCGTCCTGCCTTCTCTGGTGGTTGACTGTCCTTAAACTGCATGGCAGGACCTTTCACTCACTAACGTGCTCCAAGCTGTGGGTCACCAAATCTGGGACAGGTGTCGTGCCACCTGTCTACAAGGGATGATGAGAAAGAAGCACAAGGGTCCAACTTGCTCCAGAGCCTCTGAGATAAAGGCTTGGCCATGAGGCCATCAAGAGCTGCAAAGGGCTCACCTGGGTCTCTCCTCTTTCACATAACCTGGCAGGTAGCAGCTGTTTCTTGCGATTGAAGAAGTTGATCCACGTAATTCTGGACTGGCAGGAGGATGTTCCGGTACCCTCATTGCCCTCCTCCCCATCTCTGCTGTCCCCTTCTCCTCCAGGGAACAACCTTCATGCCTTGTCTCCTCTGGCCCTTGCAGGTCCCAGGCTGCTACCTGCTACATCAAGCATGCAGATAGGATTTACTTACAGAGCGTCCAAACTCTCTTTCATAACTGAATTAACAAACCTCTCATATAATTGCTTTTCTAATTCAAAATCTATTGAATTGCAGGTAGCGGGTGACACCCGTTCCTTGATCCGTTAGTATATCGGGCTAATTGGCTTCCCCTCAACATGCTGGATCTGTTCATTGTTAGTGGTTGCAGCTTTTCCTCCTGTGTCAGCAGATGCAGACGGACTTGGGGGGCAGTGTGGTAGTGAACCCCACCATAGAGAAGGTTTTGATTGATCCTCTTTTATGGGCATACTTGTCTCAGATGTCTTTGATCATAAACATGGGATTGTGATGGTTTTAGTGCCCAAATGGCAACTGTGAGGTGGCTTGGTGTGACACCAGCACGGTAGGCTTACGGCAGTGCTGATGATCAGAGTGTTATGGAGCGTTGGAGTTGGAGATGTTGGATCTTGTGCTGGCTTCGTGGCACTCGGGAGGTCCCAAGGTAAAACACTTCATTCCAAATCTCTGTGTGGCGGAGTGGCCAATTCAGTTGAAACTTCCAGTAAAACGTGACGAGCGTTCTGACTTTTCCTAATTGAGCTCTCAATCTGAATCAGAATCGTTATTTCTTATCCCATGAGCAGCATTTGAAAATATTCTTTCTGATTTACTTTCTGCACATATCTAACCGTGCGTAAGTTTCCAATCCTCTTTCCATATCGATTTTGCAGGCAAGTTTCAGATCTGCCAACTCGCTTCTTCCATAATAATCTTCTGCCTATCTGTAAGGGCCTTGACCTCAAATGGAGATCAGGCCTTTGGGAATCTGCTCAGGGTTTCTGCACATCATAGAGCCCCATCATCTTCCCCTGGCATTAGTTAGTCCCTTGCCAGTTGGAGATGGAAGGGTCCTCTCAGATGTCCCAGCCAGACTCCTTCAGGATGAACTTCAGCTCGTCCTTGGATGGTAGATCTGGAATTCACTATATCCAATAGTTCACCTCATCTTTTCAAGTTGCTGAGGAATAAATCTCTGCTCCTGGTTTTGAATAAGCTATTGGCTCAGGCAGTGTAGAGCAGGAGGGAGGCAGCTGTATCGTGCAGCATCCAACCTACATGGAGGTCCTCCTTGGAGAAGGAGGATTTGGTTATTCAGGGCATCCAGCCTGTGAACAGCGTTGACTTTTCCAAGTGTAAGAGAATGATTGAGGTCAGAAGGGACCTCTGGTCTAACACCCCTGCCCAAGGAAGGTCACCTGGACCATGTTGTCCAGGACCTGGTCTGGGCTGTCCTAGTCTATCTGCAAAGATTTTGGTATCTCCAAGGAGGGAGTCCGCCCAACTTGTTGGAGCAACCTCTTCCAGTTCTCTGGTACCCTCCTAGCAAAACAATTTTTCTTTTGAGGTGACAGCAGCACAGCCAGTTGGATTTAGATGCTTCTTTCATGGCTGGTTGTTCCCTTCCTCCTAAAAGAGAGGATTGAGGAGGAAAGACCCAGGAATGTGGCAGCTCTCCTGGGCCACCCATCCCCAAGCAGCATCAGGGGCTCTCCCAAGACACATCCCGATTTTAGCCATTGTAGCCAGAAGGAAAGACTACCCTGACTGATCTTCCAACTGCACGAAGCTTCTCCTACCAACCCATCTCCCAGATTTCTCTATCGCTGGCAGTAGACGGATTCAGTGGAAGAGCCACACGTTGACTTTGAGGTTTATTTGTGTCACTGCTGTAATTCAGGAGCAGCCGGAGGAGTTTGCAGGGGGTCTTCAGCCCCATGGGATCAAGGCGCTGGACCCTTGAGGACTGCTGAGTTTTTTGCCTCCTGCTGGGATCGTGGGCTCCAACCCCCACTTCAACTTCTCCCTCCCGTCATCCGTTAGGGCGCAGGTGAAGATGCTCGAAGTGGCCGCATCTGAGGACAAACCTCGTCTGATGGGAAAATCTAACGGTGCCACCTGACGCATGATTTACCGCCGCGTCCGCTCCTGGGGCCTCAGTAATATATTTCTATTAGATTCTCCCCCCAGCCTTCGCTACCGTGCGGAGGGGATGCCTTTTCCCTGACACCTGCTTAGGCGCCGGCGAAATAAATGTTGATTTTTTCCATCAGGGAGGAAGAGCGCAAGGACGGCGAGCTCAGCAAAAGCGGCTCGGCACCGCGCCGGGTGCTCGTGCGCCAGCCCTGCTCCCCTCCTCACGAAAGCGCTTCAATCATCGGAATGAAAAACACGGCAACCAACACAAAAAAACAGGGGCCCGGGCGCCCGGCTTTTCGCTAACTAGAAATGATATACCTGGTTCCCAGGAGATGGATGGTGGTGCTCCCAGCTGGCAGAGTGCGCGCGGCGCCGCGCGACGGGGCCCAAGATTGATCGGGCAATTTGCACGATCTCCCACGCACCAAGAAAGTGGAAAATATATTTGGCTTTGCCAGGGCAGGTTCTTTATATATATGTATATATATATATATTTTTTTTTTTGGTGGGGTTGTGAGTGGTTTTGCAAGGGGACGGTGTGCCGGGTACGCTGTGTTTCAGGAAGCTCCCAGAGCATCCTGTGTGTGCGGCCGTCTATCCCAGCCTTTCCAGTGGAGCGTGTCCACCATCAAATGTGCTCAGCTCCGGAAAGTCCCGCGCAGCGGTCGGGAAGCTAATTGCAGTCCATTAAGAAGTGTGCAAAAAAAAAAATCTATATTTCTGCTGCTCTTCTGCAAATATTATTTTATTTGCTTTGCCACGCGGACGGTTTGTGCAGCGCGCACGGAGCTTCGCCAGCAGCTCCGAGAGGATCAAGACTCTGTAACGCAGGATTTGGGCTCTTGGCAGGCTCTGGCTTCTCCAGGGAAGCTGGAGCCGGAGCAACTCTAGGGGCACTGCAAGATATCCAGGGAAAATCCGCGTGCAGCATTCAGCAAAACAGCCCTTGGCGCGGAGAAGGGGCACGCTGGGCGCGCGCTTGCCGGCGTCAGAAGTCATGTTAGCCAAGGTGACTAATAGCCAGGGCGGCCAGGGCCGCCTCTGATGTATGGGTGTTATATTAAGGGTGGAAAGGTGCTAAATGAGCCCTCTTTATTTTACATAAATTAGCTTGTGGGCGATGCATCACTGCCAGCGCCACTCGTGCGCTCCATGAGCTTGCTTTTCCCCCAAGTTTCTGCATTCGAGTCCAACTCTGTCTTCCGTAATGGAAGTCCGTGTAGCCCAGCACGGTGCCGGAGGAGCAGCCGGCAGCTGGGAACAGAGAGCGGGATGTCGCCGTTGGCAGCAGAGCCGAGAGCTCTTCAGCTCCAGCTCGGGCATCTCTCTCAGAAAAACGGCTCTTCGAGTGCCGGGACAGTCCCTCGGGACTCCAAAATCCTTGGCATCCGCCTGCAGGGCCAAGTCGATGGGAAGCAATTCCCGCGCCTGCTAGATGGCAGCAGCACTCTCCGGCTCGGCGGGCGCAGGAAGCGCGTCCGAGTCCCCAAAGCCGATGCCAGGATTTATCTGGGATGGATCAGGGATGCGCCAGGAGCCCTCCGGGGAAGCTGCCACTTCTCCATGCTGGCTTCTCCTGAGCTGCAGCTGGAAGCAAGACCAGAGTCCCAGCATATCCCGTAGGGCACTGGGGAAGTCCAGAGAAGTTGAGGATGGAGACGACTGTGACGAATTCCTATTTTTCCCTTTCTTTCCCTCTTGCTCCTAGGAAGTGTCAAGCGGAAAAGGACCTTTGCATCCTCGAGGGGCTTGGAAGCGGCAGCGCTGGAGGATGGAGGCTCTGGAGGTGAGGCCAGCGGCGCGCGCGTTCCCTCAATGCCAGTGGCTGCTCCCATGTCCCGAAGAAAAATGACACCTGTGGGCCCAGATGTCGTGTGGCGGTGGCTTCTCTGGGGCCGTCCTCGTCACAACGGCCTCTCTGCCACCCTCGCCCTTCTCTCCTCTTCTTCCAGGAAAGCGGCTGCAGATCAAGCCCCGGCTCTGAGCGACTCTGGCACCCACCTTGATCCTGATCCCGATCCCGCACCCAAGAGCTCGGGAAAAGGCCACTGGGGCCGGCCCGGCACCTACCTCAGCACCCTGCGCCCGCCGCCGTCTCCCATGTCCCACAGCTCCCCTGTGCACAGGGAGAAGCAAGACTGGTTTTGCCGGCCCTTGGGCGAGCTGGTTTGGTCGGAGTTGTTTAATTTTGAAATAAATTCCCTTTTAAGCCGACGGTTTCGGTGCCAGGGAGATGTTCAGGGGTCGCTGTGGGTCCCCCTTGGGTGACGGGCACCCATGGGACACACCGTGCCCGGAGCCCACCTGGATCCGTCCCTCTGTCCTGGCGCGGAGGCGTCGGGTCTTGTGTTTCCTTATTTTTAGGGGGCAATTTCACGCGGGATGCTGGAGCGGAGCCAGGCGCTGAGCCGGCCTCCGGCAGTACCACAACATCCACGGCCCCCCCACTGCTGTCCCTGTCACCCCTTGGTGTCCCCATCCCCCTTGTTCAGTTCAGGGGCCTGAGGGGGGCTGCTCCAAATCTGCTCCATGTGCCAGGAAGCCGGAGTCACTCCACATCATCATCCCCCCACCCGAACCACCCGTCGCATCCCCAACCTACATCGGGTCCCCCCACACCCGAACCTTTTTTTTCCCCCTTCTTTTTATCTATTTCTTTTCCTGCCGAAAGCATTCGAGGGTCCCGAGATGCCGAAGGGCCCCAGGGGGATTTAGCACCCGCAGGGGGATGAGTTTGGGGGGGGACTGCCTTGGCCACCCCCGCAGCACCAATGGGTGCCCCCTTGGTGGGGCCGCCGCCAAGATGCCTCGGTTGCCGTCGGGTCGCCGGGATTTTGGTGCGTTTTGATATTTAAATAAAAGTCCCTGTGTGGAAAGCGCCAGGTGCTGCTCTTCTTTGATGGGGGTACATGGGGACAGGCATAGTCCATCTGTCCTGGCCAGCCCCAGTGGGTCCCCCAATGCTTTTTGTGCCTTTAAATGGGTCATTTGGGAGGGTTTTCTGGGTTTGTTCCTTCCTGAAGCTGCCAAGAAAAGCCCGAATACCCCTGTTTCCAGTGGGGCCCTGACAAGGCGGACAGAAGGGGAGCCAACGTGGGAGGGAAAAAAGAAACAAAGGGAGAAAAAGCACTTTTTAAGTTATTTTCGGGAGGTTATTATGATTTTTTCTCTTTTTTAGGGGGGGTGGTCAGGGTAAGTGGGGTTCCACATGTCCAGAGGCTCCGGCTGCTT